AATATTTGTGAAGCTGTGTAACTAATGATCTAGAGACATAAAATGTTGATTATATCATGTCCTGTTTTGTGAAGATTAAAATTAGATTTTTAGTAAATTTTGATAAAAGTTAATGAAATGTGTGGTTGATAAGTTATAGAACTCCTGAAATATGTTAAAATTAATTGTTGAATTTGATTTAGACTAAAATCTAAACCTTACCAAACAATATTTGGGTAACTATGGCGCGTGTGCGTGTGCGTGTGTGAGAGGCACAGCCCTCATGTTTTTAGGATCACTCTTGGGTCAGAGTTGGTGATGACCCTCAAAGAATAGGGCCATAAATAGTGCCTCTAGTTTTTAGGACCAATCTTGAGTCAGGCTTGGTGAAGAACCTCAAAGAATTGGGCCCTAAACCTAGTTTTTTGGATCTATATTGGGCCTCAATATTTAGGACCCAAAGAAAATTACACAAATGGCCATTATAGTTGTCATGTAATTGGGAACACTACAAAATTAAGGTGGTTACAGAATACAATTTCTATCATCCTCTTCACCTCTACCACACCTCACCACACCACCCCACAACAAAACAAAACAGATGAAGATAAAATAAAGGAAATGAAAAAGAAAGTCGTACCAATGCAAACAGAGGAACACAGATGTAGATGACAGAAAACATATCGCGGCAGCTCATGAAGTAGAGACTAGCAGCGCGATGGGCGGGCATCGTCTCTACTTCGTGCGCAGCGACGCTGTTGCTGAGCGCACGAGCACCACTGTTGTGTATGTCATCGACAAAAGGTGCAGAAGAGGGGATGATCGAGGGTAAAATGGAGAAACAACATGATAATTTTTTTGAAACGAGAATTAGAGTTTGTGGTGTTGGATGAGTGGAGGTGGTAGGTTAATTAATTTAATAATATTAATATTAATATTAAAAAATAAATATGACTTGATTTTTGCATAAACAAATTTTTAACTTAATTTTTGAAGTAGAAAATTGAAAAACATGGGTGGGTGTTATTTTCACTAAAAATAAATTGTAACATATTGTACAATTACAAAACATGGATGATTTTTATTCAATTTTGGTACATGTACATCAAAGCTAATATAGTGACTTACATAATGCCACGTGATATTATCATTGGACAGTTTAAAATAAGGTCATTTTTTTCATCCAATCATTTTCCTCCAACTCATTTCTGGGCACTCGACAATTTCTTCTGGCAAAGTAGATTAACTCTCTCTCTCTCTCTCACATTGAAATGTGCGTGAGATGCTATTCCAATATCTCTGGGAATATTAATTATAGTAATTACGATATCCCATGATTTAGGGGTCTAAAAGAATTGTTGTTTATGAGTAACAATCGTACGTTCAATATATAATAATTATTTACAAATCAAAACATTATTCTTTTGAAATTCTTCCTTACCGAATTCGTCTTTAGCAGATGCAAAGTTGAATCAAAATATTATCCAATAGTGAATTACATATGTTTTAATAT